ACACAAATATCACATTTTTACACATTCATGAAATGAATGTGCATTTATATATGTCTATTTCACAAGCAAATACTAAACTTCTATGTGTCCATTTAGCATAAAAATTATGTTTTTATATGTCCTTGGTACACCACACAAGTAAATGCCAAATTTTAAAAGTCCACTTGACAAATACTACATTTCTACAGTCTCATTTAACAAACAAGTGCCACATTTGCAGACGTACACTTAACAAGCAAATGCTGCAACTATTAGACATTCACTAAACAAACACTAAACTTAAGACTAGTTCAATATGATACACACAAACATTTGTGTATACATGTGTAAACTTCAAACTAGTTCACGTTAATATGCACAAACACTTATATACATACACGTACATATCTTACAAATGTATACTTTGGGTTAGTTCAACATAATACATATATAAACATTTAAACATACATATCTTATGCATGTTAACTTTGTACCAGTTCAACATGATATACACAATACACATTTAAATATAAATACAGGTATCTTACTTGTATTATTTTCTTCAGATGAGTCATGACCTGACACCAAGAGCCCAAACTGGGAGGCCAGCTCCGAGATTGTGGTAGCTGTGTCTTCTCGACTCAGTTCGGATTCATCTTCAAAGTCATCCAAGTTTCCAACGTCATGATCAGGTGGCTGCATGCTCATGAGGCTGGCGATGCTCTGCAAATCTTCATCTCTGCATCATGAAATAACTCGTGTAAGAAAATTAAGTAATATAAATTCTATCAGTACAATAAACAAAAAAGAAGCTACCAGATTACTTCACAAAACATATACTTTCTCACAGAAACAAAACATTATAAACATGAACATTACTGTTCACCAAATGTACAGTACTGACAGTCTAGAAAATCTAAAAACTTTACTGTTCACTTAGATTAAAACAGCAACAACTACAGAATCTAAGGACTGTACTGTTCACTAAGATTAAAACACCAACAGACTACAGAATCTAAGGACTGTACTGTTCACTAAGATTAAGACACCAACAGACTACAGAATCTAAGGACTTTACTCTTCATTAAGATTAAAACACCAACAGACTACAGAATCTAAGGACTTTACTCTTCATTAAGATTAAAACACCAACAGACTACAGAATCTAAGGACTGTACCGTTCACTAAGATTAAAACACCAACAGACTACATATTTCAACACAACATAGTAATTATTAGTAAACAGTTTAGGTACATTAGTTAAGCTGATTTCAACACAACATAGAAATTATTAGTAAACAGTTTAGTTACATTACTTAAGCTGATTTCAACACAACATAGTAATTATTAGTCAACAGTTTATTTACATTACTTAAGCTGATTTCAACACAACATAGTAATTATTAGTCAACAGTTTATTTACATTACTTAAGCTGATTTCAACACAACATAGTAATTATTAGTCAACAGTTTAGTTACATTAGTTGAGCTGATTTCAACACAACTTTCAGAGTTTCAATTGGATACCAGAAAGCATGGAAACAATAGTAACTGGCACAGTATGTGATGAACACAAAAACGAAAGAAAGGAACATGCCATATTTGTCATCTTTGTGATCCATTACCCTCATGCACTGTACCTACGATAGATATTAACTACATTAGAAAGTGTAAAAGTAGTCAGTTGTCAAATCAGTAATAAAAAAAAAAGGTGCTGCCATATCTAGGCCGAGTTTTTTGCGGCACCGGGTCTTAAAAATGTAGCAAGCTGTGTACCTTATTCTAACTTTTGTTTTTGTATATTACATTAAATCAAAGTTTGGCTGCAGTAATTACACATATAGTTAAGAAGCTCTTACTTGGAATGATAGTAAAATTCAAAAATTTCTGAAGACATTTAATGAATATGTATGTTCACTTATGTTAATGTTTTACATTAAAAAGAGAGACAAAAGTCATGCCTCCTTTAGATTTAATCTCTTAGTTATTGAAATTCTTTGAGAGTTGTGAAAACAACTTATTAATTTTATACATCCTCTGAAATAACTATCACTTTAAAATGTTTGTTTGTAATTAAGCACAAAGCTACACAATGGGCTACCTGTGCTCTGCCCACCACGGGTATCGAAACCCGGATTCTAGTATTGTAAGTCTGCAGACATACTGCTATGCCACTGGGGGACCACTTTAAAATGAAACAACATAGAAGTTTCTTTGGCTGAGCCTTTGTTTTCATGTGTAATTTCTTTGGCTGAGCCTTTGTTTTCATGTGTAATTTCTTTGGCTGAGCCTTTGTTTTCATGTGTAATTTCTTTGGCTGAGCCTTTGTTTTCATGTGTAATTTCTTTGGCTGAGCCTTTGTTTTCATGTGTAATTTGCAACTTCTCATTCAGTATGAAGATGCTACATTTCCTTAAAATCAGTAGTTTTGTACTTTAGCAAATGTTTACTTCTCAGCTGCTCTTAAATGAATAAATAAATGTAAATAAATGTCATGGCTAGAGTGTTGTTTGTCATAATAAACAAAAACAAAAGTTTTTCCAAGTTTAATTGACTTTTTAACCCATATCTGCTGACAAACTGTAACGTTTTGAGAAAACAAAATTGCGAGGAAGAAAAAAAATTAACATCTGTACTTACGTTGCCTTTCCTTCTTTCAGGAAAACACATGACAGGGTTAATATTAGATGAGCTCCAGTTACTTTCTTGGAAAGAGGTTTAAACTTCAGCTTCACTTCAGACTGAGTAGACTCTATGCTTGTGTAATACCTGAGATTGATGTTTGCTGAAGCAACTAGACGTCGCTTTCCAGTTTTAGAAATCTAAAATTATGTTTACATAAATAAATTAGAAAACTCAAATGAACATTATCAGTAAGTTCTTGTATTTCAGTATTAATAACTAATATTTAGTTATCTGCTGTTTATCTTGTGATATGACAGTATTAATTACTAATGTTAGGTTAAATTTGTTGTTTATCTTGTGATATGACAGTATTAATTACTAATATTTAGTTATCTGCTGTTTATCTTGTGATATGACAATATTAATTACTAATGTTAGGTTAAATTTGCTGTTTATCTTGTGATATGACATATTAATTACTAATGTTAGGTTAAATTTGCTGTTTGTCTTGTGATATTTCAGTATTAATTACTAATATTTAGTTATCTGCTGTTTATCTTGTGATATGACAGTATTAATTACTAATGTTAGGTTAAATTTGCTGTTTCTCTCATGGTATGACAGTGTTAATTACTAATATTTAGTTATCTGCTGTTTCTCTTGTGGTATGGTAGTATTAATTACTAATTTTTGGTGATACTTGAAACCAGATACTACAAGTTTCTGTTCCACATTATGTACAAATTAGTTAATACGTACAAGACTTATGTAAACTTCTATCATAATGCTGAGAAGTATCAGCTGAAGATATATAAAGAGAGCGACTGTTAACCTATGCATGTTCAATACCTTAAACCTAGTTGTATATATACAACAGGAGACGTGTAATAATACAAGGTTATTGTGCAGCAAGAAAAAGGATTTTAGTATACAACAGTTATACGAAGTTATACTACCAAATAGTGTTTTTACATAACAATAATCATAACCAAAGTTAATTAAACATGGAAGTCCAACTTATCCCCCCCTCAATGAATCTTCATGTAAAGTAAAAAAAGTTTTGTTTATAATACAGTTAATAGATTTATAATGCTGTTGAGAGCTTCACGAAAAAGAGTCTAGAATTCAAACATTGTTTTCTTAGTTTAACAGTCAAAAATGGCTAAATGATTGGTTCCTCCTAGTGGTGGTGTTTAGAAATACATCTGATGTGTGAGATACATATTATTAAGTAGTTACAAAAAAAAAGACAAGACAGCTGAACATATAACCGAAAATAATGACGCCTAATGTTCAAATATAAGCAAAAATATCATAGTTAGTAGATTTCTAACTCATACGAAGAATAGAAACTGGCAGCACATTAACATCTGTTACTTACATCTTCAACAACAAATGTCCACTCTTTGTCTTCAAATTCATTACTTCTCTGGTCTTTGAACAATGTGGCCTTAATTTCTATGTTTTCCGGAACAGGCCAAACTACAAGGCCTCGATAAGGATTTCGAATAGTAGGCTCCCACGAATGAGACTAAAATAAGAGATATTTTTTTAGTATACTTCGCCTAAATAAACTGAATAATTTAATGAAATCCTAACAAGTTTTAAGAAAAATAAACATTAATACTTATATTTTTTTATTGTTTTAAAGAACTAATTCAGATTAATATGACATCTTATAGTATACAAATAATAAAAGAACTGCATAGGCAAGAAAAGTAAATATTTACAATAAAAACAATCAAAGTGAAACACTATCAAAATTATAATATGTTTACTGATGATTCTGGAAACAACAGTTTGGGCACTAGCACTTCGTTGGGTTTGTAGCAAGAACAAAGTGAGTTTTAGAAGAGATAGGGTATAATACCCAATTAAAATGACATATTAAAAAAAAAAAGCATGTCTCAAGAACATATTCTTAAGCTAAAATACGAGAAAAGAAAAGTATGAGAAGTAATACAGAATATTAATCAGTCGAGTAACATTTGATGAGGTAAAAAAGAGAGTAAATTACAGTAATGAAATATTAAACTAAATAAATAAATAAACTAGGTAAATAGATAAGTAGAGCATGAATAGAAGCAACAAAATGGTTAGATATACAAACAATGAGAAAATGAATGTGTGAATTGTATAACATTGTCCAGTGATTTACAACAATGAGAAAATGAATGTGTGAATTGTATAACATTGTCCAGTGATATACAAACAATGAGAAAATGAATGTGTGAATTGTATAACATTGTCCAGTGATTTACAACAATGAGAAAATGAATGTGTGAATTGTATAACATTGTCCAGTGATATACAACAATGAGAAAATGAATGTGTGCATTGTATAACATTGTCCAGTGAAATACAACAATGAGAAAATGAATGTATGAATTGTATAACATTGTCCAGTGATATACAACAATGAGAAAATGAATGTGTGAATTGTATAACACTTTCCAGTGATATACAACAATGAGAAAATGAATGTGTGAATTGTATAACATTGTCCAGTGAGAAACAAAAATGAGAAAATGAATGTGTGCATTGTATAACATTGTCCAGTGAGATACAACAATGAGAAAATGAATGTGTGAATTGTATAACATTGTCCAGTGATATACAAACAATGAGAATATGAATGTGTGAATTGTATAACATTGTCCAGTGAAATATAACAATAAGAAAATGAATGTGTGCATTGTATAACATTGTCCAGTGATATACAACAATGAGAAAATGAATGTGTGAATTGTATAACATTTTCCAGTGATATACAACAATGAGAAAATGAATGTGTGAATTGTATAACATTATCCAGTGAGATGCAACAATGAAAGATATTTACAGATTGTAAATAACATGCTACACATGGGTCCAACAGTTTACCGCTAAGAAAAACTGTTCTCAGGAACACCCGTCCTAAAAAATAATGTTACAAAATCCACTGGTAAACATTTCAGTATCTCTTCACACTGCATCTCTGACTTCTCTGTACTTGAACTTCAATTTGCTCCCTCTACTGTGACACAAAAAGAACATCTGCAAAAATTCTAGGTTTTTTTAATTTGGCATAAATGAAGAATTATCATTCCTTTAACTTATCCCCCTTCTTATTTTCTCATAATGATTTTTGCTTTGTTTAAGATTTTTGATCAAAGTATGTGAGTTTGTTATATCAAACATTTTCTTACCCAAATTTGTTACCTTTACATTAATTTATTTTTGTTTAATAAATCACTTCTCTTGTATTACCTTTCTTTGTTGTATTTTAGCTTAAGAATATGTTCTTGAGTCACTAAAATCGTGTGTTGTTTTTTCCCGTCATTTTAACTAGTTGTTATAGCCTATCTCTTCTAAAAGCTGTTTTCCTCCCTGCAAACTTAATGAAGGGCCATTGCCCAAAACTGTGTTTTCACATTCATGAATAAACTTATTTTAATTGTGAAGCATTTCCTCTCAGTTGGTTTCACTTTATACTGTAACGCCTAAAGCATTATTTCACAGTCAACACGGGGACACTAATTTTTTTAGACTAATATCCACTCTATCAGTTGGTTTCACTTTATACTGTAACACCTAAAGCATTATTTCACAGTCAACACGGGAACACTAATTTTTTTTAGACTAATATCCACTCTATACAACAATGATTGAAAAGTTACTAATGTAAATCAGTATGACTATTATGGGATTGCTTTTTAAACCAATTTTCTCATAATGTAGAACCTTGAGTAATATTCATAAACAGTGTGCTATCTGTGCATAACTATCCATAACTTTGAACTGATGGACCAGAGGGAAGGCAGTTATCAACTCTTAGGCTATTTTTATCTGACCAAATAGTATTACTCAACCATCACTCTTATAGTGCATCCATGGTCCCAAAATGTAGGATGTGTTTTTGCAGTAATGGGACAGAAACCATGAATCCTCAGGTTCACAATTCTGGCATGCTAATCATCAAGTCCATTCAGTCCCAGTGTATTGAAAATGTAACAATCAATTCCAAAACATGCCCAAATACAAAAAAAAAATGTTGTCAGCTCAGAGGGATTAAAGTTACAGGAGTAAGCCTACTGAACTGAGTAAACAATTAAGAACTCATTCAATGACCCTCATTTTCCAGTACTTGGTGCTTACCTATGTAAGAAGCATAAACCCTCAAAAATGCTTAAAACTGCAAGGAATCATTTCAAAACATATCCCATAATGCCTCAAATGAACAATACCTTTCTCAGCTTTGCGCAAGTGGCTTTAACTGGGGGATCATGTCAGTTCAGTGGGGGGTTAAAAAGTAGGATCATTTCAGGTCAGAAGTGCTTGAGGGATTATACAAACATCACAGATAAACTTTATACAAATGTTGGTAAAATTCTATTGAAAATCCTAAACAATTGATAACAGAATATACATAATTTCAGTAATTAGGATAAAAAAAAATACAGGGGATCCCAGAAGTCTGGATCCATAGGGAAAAATACACAAATATTCTTCATCTATTTATTGTTCAAATTGCATGCCATTAACAGCCATACATATATCAATTCTTGGTATACTGTGACATCAGGATATTTTCTTTCCTGAAATATGTACAACCGACATTAGAAATGTGTTTCTTTAACTGTAAGAATTTAACGTCTACTTTCCATATGGGTTCCAGACTTCTGGGACACCCTGTATAATACAATAATTTGGGAAGCCTTAATCAATATCATTTGAAAAAAAAAATTGCATCTTCAGTAAACATCATGCAATTTTATACTAAAATCTACATCATCTTCCACATAAGAAGACTATCAAATAACTATTTTAGAACAAAACCAGCAAATCTTCCTTAATCTAGAAAAAACAAATACTGATAAATTGTAATATTCTGATCTTTAAAGTTCTGTCTTGGAACTTTCAGAACATCTTACTTGGACTAACTTGTACACTAATATCACGATTCATTATATTACCTTTGTTGAGTATCTCCTGTTTCTTCTGGTCCAAACAACACAAAGTTTGTTGGGTTGCCTAGAATTAAGACAGAATTTGACACAATTTAGACAATACAGTGTTTAGTTTCTTAGAAATAACACATAACAGTGTTTCACATAACTTACAGAATACAAAATTTATAGGGTTGCATACAAATAACACACGACAATGCTTCACATAATTCAAATAATACAAAGTTTGTTAGGTTACCTAGAAATAACACACAACAACGTTTCACATAATTTACACAATACAAAATTTATAGGGTTGCATACAAATAACACACAACAATGCTTCACATAATTCAAATAATACAAAGTTTGTTAGGTTACCTAGAAATAACACACAACAATGCTTAACACAATTTAACCAACATAAAATTTGAATAACGCCAAGTTTGGTTGCCTAGAAAAAACAAATAACAACGTTTGGCACAACTTAAACAATAAAAGATTTGCTGGGTTACCTATAAATAAGACACGCCAATTCAAATTGACACAATTCAAACAAAATAAAATTTGTTAGGTTGCTAAGAAATAACATAAAACTATGTTTGACACAAATTAGATAATACAAAGTTTGTTCGATTGCCTAGATATAACACAACATTTCACACAGTTTTGTAAGCAACAAACTAACAAAACAAGCTTTCTGACAGATGTTTGTAAATATCAGGCACGTTTAAATTTTCTTTTAAACAGAAGCACCACAAATGAGTAAACGTTTTAAATTTGTTAAAGACGAACAGTACAAATGTTAAACTTCCATTCCCTGTAATAATTTATATTACCAGAACTATGATAAATAATTCATGATAAAAATTGAAGTAATGAAACCACACATTAACATTTTATTTTCCTCCTCAATTCACATGTCGGTTATATGAAATAAACTTTTCTCGTGTATGGTTGGTTCATATCTCGTTTTTTTCTCTCTTTAATTTGTGTTGTTCTTTGCAGAAATGGTACCATTTTTAGATAGAAAATTTATATACGGGTATCATAATGGTACTTTTTCAATTTATCGTACTATATACTAAATATTTAAAACATTACAATTAGCTTTCAGAACTTTAATAATTTATTACGTTCGTGATTTGTTGTTATTGTTGACGTTTTAACTTTACAATTTTATGTATTACACACCATTCTTTTTCTACGATTATTGTTTAGAAAATAGTTTAAGAAGAGGTTGGCCACTCTGAATGGTTTATAATGAATTTCAACATCTTGTCTAAAGCTTGTACGAGATAAAACGTTTACATTTACAATAGCAGTTATATTCTGGTTACACAGCTGCTGCCATCTGGTGTCGAAAGTGTTAGTTTGTTGTTTTTGCTGATAAATTCTACTTTACCATTTCTTTGTCCCTTCCACCATCAGTTCCTGATAGGACGCAGTAAACTGAAAGCGAGCAGCTCGCTTATTCACTCTCTGTAGTCTCTTCCACACGGAACTCATAACTGTAACGTGATAGACACGAGCAGGTGAAGTTACGTCCGCTGTCGATAGATGGAGAAGTAATAAACCTCAGTCATAACGCTTGATAGAGGGCGTTCACCTTTGGACTTTAGCCTGCATAATGTAACAGAAAAGGCATTTTAAATTTTTAAAAATACATACCACATAAGTTAAATAAATATTCGATATCCCGCGTTTCTAACCCTTTAATTTGGGTGTTCAGTCTTAGGAAATGTTTTTATTTTTTAAACTTTATAATTACTGCGCAGGTAATAACTCGCAAATAAACTGTCGGCTTCGTATCTAAGACGTCCGTTTCAAAAGTAGCGTCAACACTTTCAAAAGAGACGTACAAACATTCGACTACACCTATTCAAGGTCTTAACTACTAAGCTGTTCTTAACCCCATCATAATATCCATATGAATGAACACCAGATGGAGCTATTTATTTTTTAATCTGGTGTAAGTACCGTATTTGGTACAGGGAATTTTTCTTCTTGTTGTTTTGTCCTAGCACCGTGGAATGTGCCGGTTAGATTTAAAATAAAGGCCCCTTTACACAGACCTAGCACCGTAGAATGTGCCGGTCAGATTTAAAATAAAGGACCTTTACACAGACCTAGCACCGTGGAATGTGCCAGTCAGATTTAAAATACAGGCCTTTTACACAATACCACCACCGGACGGTATTTTGTATTCTTTATACACAACTTTATACACACACGTGTAGTAAAAACATTCATTAGGCCGATACTTCAAGAAATAAAAACAAAGCACCTGCAGTATTTAGCGGTAGACATAGCGTCAAATAAATATTTTCTGCAATTTTAACATGTTTATGTAACGTTTTGAACACCACGCCATAATTTAACTAAAAAATGATAAATTCGTTAAACAGACATCATTTAACTTTTGGAGCACTGAAAATATTGTCTATGTAGAGACTCCTGTTTAGTAGCTGTAGTTGTGTAACGGGGAGAGGTTCATTGTTAAGCTATGGTGTTGTGTAACGAGATGTTCATTGTTATTTGTTGGTGTTATGCAATGAGGGGTTCTTTGTTGCTGTGCAAAAGAGAGAAGTTCGTTATGTTTGGTGTTGTGTTACGAGAATAAGTTCATTGTTATGTTTTGATGTTATGCAACAGGAAAAATCATTGTTATTCTTTGGTGTTGTGTAACGGAAGTTCATTGTTATGTTTTAGTGTTGTGTAACGGAAGTTCATTGCTATGTTTGGTGTTGTGTAACGAGAATAAGTTCATTGTTATGTTTGGCGTTGTGTAACGGAAGTTCATTGTTATATTTTAGTGTTGTGTAACGGAAGTTCATTGCCATGTTTGGTGTTGTGTAACGAGAATAAGTTCATTGTTATGTTTGGTGTTGTGTAACGGGAAAAGTTCATTGTTATGTTTGGTGTTGTGTAACGAGAATAAGTTCATTGTTATGTTTTGATATTATGCAACGGGAAAAAAGCATTGTTATTCTTTTGGTTGGTGTACCGGGAAGAAGCTCATTGTTAGCATTGCACAATTTAACAATGAAGGAACGTCATGCTTCTCCTCATGTCGATAAGCAAGAACGCTAATTACAATAATAAATAATCCAGAGCAGGGAATACCACATTCGTCGAGGATAAAAACAACAACAACACACAATAATGGTGCTTTATAATCCGGATGAAAAGCCACTTCTGACATTAAGTGTTCTAATATAACAAAACACTTTCTCTAGAAGGTTCAAAGAATTATTTGTACATTTCACTGAGAGAGAAATATTATCAGGAAAGTTCTTTTTTAACGGATTGTCTTTTCTGCTTAGAAACAGTCTGCAGAAAAAACTTCAAAATCCCGACGTAATAATGAAATGGAGACGCGACTTTTTCTGCTCGACTACATACTTACTGACTGAGTATATATTTGTACACATTCTATAAACATAAGCACAGTAAAAAGTATTTTCTCGTTTTCCCACGAATATATGAATCTTTAGTTTTGTAAATTCAGTTTTCAACTAAGCTTCTATCTAGAATCGGAAGGTACTGGGGAGGGGGAGCACTAGAAGTTAGAGTGCCGAGCTACGTTAGCTAGAATCGGAAGATACTGGGGGAGGGGGCAGTAGAAGTTAAACTGTCGGGCTACGTTAGCTAGAATTGTAAGGTACTGTGGGGAGGGGAGAGAGAGCACTAGAAGTTAGAGTGCCGGACTATGTAAGCTAGAATCGGAAGGTACTGGTGGGGAGGGGAGAGCACTAGAAGTTAGAATGTCGGGTTA